GCAACAAGTACTGTCAGTTTTCTTTGTAGTGATAGATTCACTTTTGTTCAGTTTTGAGAAAATGCCTATCAAATATGTAAGCTTGAATAATATAATTACTCTTTAAGTAAAAACAGTATTTCATAAAAAAAACCTTAGTTCAGCTTGCAACACAAGTGCCTTTACTAAAGGTAGCAGTTATACTTAAGTTTATGTTATGTCATATATTAAGTATATATCATTTCCTCACACAGAATAATAAAAGGACATGTACTGAAGGATTGAGATTTATTAAAACTAATAATTTTGCAGCTTTATCAAGGACATTCTTAAATTAAAACTGGCATTATTTTTAACTGTAATAACATGATAATGAAGACCATGAGTCCTATTACAGTTTGGTGCTGCTGCCTTGATTTGTGTTAAGGTACCAGCAGGTACTTGATTTGAGTAAGGTACCTTTTGCTCACTATTGCTTTTGTACCATTGATACAAGTATCAACACTGTGAAAAAGGCGAATATTACCTTAGTATTACTAAGTATATCTGTGTACCTCTTAGGCTCCTGGAAGAATCTCGGGGATCCCCAGGCATCTGGGGACCACACTTTCTTCAGTTTCCTGAGGTTTAAAGAATCTATTCTATGGAAGAAAAGCAACTTTGGCAAAGTCAGGACTTGTCCTGGAAATTGTATTGGGCAGGGCTCCAGGGTGGACCCAGTCTTGGACAGGTGACAGAAATATGGTTAGACGGTGTGAGGTGTGAGCTGTTGTCTGATTCCTCCCAAGTTGACCATGACCCACGTACAGCTTTTGGGAGTTGGGTTAAGACACTTCTGTGGGATGAATTGAGTGTTCTGAGCTCATTAAACAGCTGAGTATTTTGAGGAGAAATTCATCAGCATTTAGTCAAGATAAGCTGAAGACCAGGCTTACCTGGGCACTACATTCTTATATTCAAGAAGAGGGCAAATGGCAGCAGAGATTGTAGTGACAGCCACCTTCAGTATATCTCTTGAGTCACACTGTTCCAATCTGGACAGCTGTTTCTCTGGGTGTGGTACACAGCTGTCATCCTGGATAGCCCTACTCAATCTCATGTCTTTCTCTTTCTTGATTGCCACATGCTTCGTGATGCTAGGCCTCCCGGAAGTTTCCTGATTCTCACCTTATTTTCCTTTAGCTCTGCCTCCTGGAGGATTTATTCATCTTTATCATCAATTAAAGTTTTCTACTCTTATGTTCTGAACTTCTAGATCCCTTTTGTTCACAGAATATTTCTTTCATCATATCCTTTTATTGTCCTCAACAAACTTTCTTGGCCTTGCACAGTCCCTTTTCCCCCAAAGTTGCTTTTCTCTGTTGTTTTGATCTGTTTTATGTTAGAGTTTTCCTCTGATGTCTCCAAATAATTAGCTGTCTGCTCATGATTAAGAGTGGGAAGCTTTAAATTAGAAGCTTTAAACGCGTAGGCTGAATACCTCTGGGCCTTTCTGTAAGATGAGCTTCTTGTCTGTCTCGTTGAGGAAGAAGCCCCAAGTCAGTAGGAGCTTATCTTCCCGTCACTGACTAGAGGTCTAGGAGGTAAGGGGTGAAGAGGATTGGTGGGGAGCATTACTGTGCACGTGGTTGTCCAGTTCCCTTCAGCTTTTAGTGCTGTGTTCCCACCATCCACTCACTGTCTTTTCTGTCTCCAGTCCAGAAGCCAGTTGTTTTATCCCTTCCAAGAAATAGACCTCTTGAATTCTACTAGTGTTGGTGTGGGACAGACATTCAAAGTTCATGGAGTGGGGAAGGTGATAAAGGAATCAAATAGTTTTCACCTTAATTCTCTTTTTTTCCTTCCCTTTCAGCCCCAGTTTCAAAAGGACCTGGTAGTGAAAGTATTATTCATTAATAATAATTTTTAGCAGAGGAGTTGGGGGAAGGGAGTAATGGCTGTACTATACATTAAGTGCTGGAGGAAGGAAGGGTACAGGAAAGATGTGTGTACAGTTTCTGCTACTGTGATACTTATACCCCACTGCTTTTAAAAATGGTTGTTACTGCTTCTGCTTTCTTCCTTCTTCCCTTATCATCTGTTATGGGTTAACAGCCACTCTTCCCATGGCATGCCAGAAGAGGGACTGAAACCCTGTCATATGAAGTTCCTAAAGGTTTTTGGGGTAGGAGAGGATCTGTGTACTATATTGCCTTCCCAAAATCTTCTGACAACTTTTTAAAGTTTCTGTATACCCTCCCTTCCATAGAAGTGAACACAATTTGTTGAAAAAAATTTTTTTGGTGTTTGATGAAATAATTGTTTAACGAGATACATTATTAGTATGAATCCTGAATTTGAAGCTAGTTGCATATTTGTTCATATGCATGGTATTCTAGGAACAGATTTACAAGATAATATCTCCTTTGGATTAAAATTTGTATCACATAGAGAAAATGAGAAGTGGTATGTTGAAGTAGAAAACAAGCTATATCTAAGCAAATAAATTAATTATTTTCTTCCTATTCTGTAACTGAATTTATAAGTCATTATAATGTTTTTTTTGTTTTTTGTTTGTTTTTTTGTTTTTTCATTATAATGTTATAATGGGGTTTTTCCTAGCTATTCAAGGACATATGTTAAGGAGCCATGCTCAAAGCTAATGCACTTGACTTCGAAGTTCATAGGAAAACAGTATGCCTACCTGGCTGGGTCAGTGGAGCATATGACTCTTGATATCAGGGTTGTGAGTTCAAGCCCCATGTTGGGTTTAGTGGTTACTTTAAAACAAAACAAAACAAAACAAAAAAACTTTAAAAAAGAAAACAAAAACAAAGTTCATGGGAAAACATTTTGTGATGCTATTATGTTGTTATCACTTGAAGTTCAAAATGTGTTTAATAACACAGCCTGCACTCCCTCTCCTTTATGAATGAAGACCAAAATATGAACTTAATTAGTTTTGAGATCCTTAGGGAGTAGGAGATAAATTCCTTTGGAATTAAACTATGCCAAAAATGATATTTGTTCTATTTTTTCTGTGGTTTTGAATAGAAATTTTAAAAAACATTATTAAAAACATATTAAATATCTTCCTTTCTTAGTAGGACTATAAACTTATGGAGGGCAAGCTCTTTCTACTGTTACATTCCACTGTCCAAGAGTAAGCACACAATACATATTTGTATGTATTTCTTACTGTGGTTTTAAATTTTCTGTGTAAAGTAGAATTACCAGGGGTGCCAGGTAGCTCAGTCAGATAAACAGCTGACTCTTGGTTTTGGCTCGGATCATGATCTTGTCATGATCTTAAGCCCCACGTCGGACTCTGTGCTCAGTGTAGATCTGCTTGAGAGTCTCTCCCTCTCCCTCCAGCTCATGTTCTCTCTCTTTCATAAATAAATCTTTGAAAAAAAAAAAGGTAGAATTACCAATCTTTTTTTTTTTTTAAGATTTTATTTATTTATTCATGAGAGACACAGAGAGAAAGAGAGGCAGGGACACAGGCAGAGGGAGAAGCAGGCTCCATGCAGGGAGCCCGACATGGGACTCGATCGATCCCGGGTCTCCAGGATCACACCCTGGGCTGAAGGCGGCGCTAGACCTCTGAGCCACCCAGGCTGCCCCTAGAATAACCAATCTTAAGGGAAATAGAGTGCATAGAACATCAGCCTCTGTAAACTTTAATAGTACAGATACTGTGTAATTTTTTTTTCTGTCAGTAGAAAAAGATGAACCATAGTGGTAATGCAAGCCTGAAAAGTGGTAGTGGTGACAGTCCGGACTCTCTCTCATCTCTTTTCAGCATTTTTCTTTTTTTTAAAGATTTATTTATTTATTCAGAGAGAGAGAGAGAGAGAGAGAGAGAGAGAGAGGCAGAGACACAGGCAGAGGGGGAAGCAGACTCCATGCAGGGAGCCCGACGTGGGATTCGATCCCGGGTCTCCAGGATCACACCCTGGGCTGCAGACGGGGCTAAACCACTGCGCCACCAGGGCTGGCCTCTTTTCAGCATTTTTCATCCCTTCGGACTACTCCTTGTCCTAGAACATCATAGCAAGTGGGATAAATCGGCTAAATGTGTAGACTAGTTTCCATCTGAATTTACTTTTGCATACTGAGCTCTTATCAATGTGTCATCAACACTGCGTAGGCAATGATTATAGAAATTAAACTTAAAAGGAAGTAATAGGAGAGATGAATGGCTTTCACTTATCATTTTGTATTTGCCTGTATGGTTTACATCTTCAAACTATATACATGTGTTACTTTTATTTTTCAAAACATAAACAGGGATTTTATCTGGGTTGTACTGTTAAGGACATTTTTGTTTCTTCTTTATATTTCTCAGTGTTAAAAATAAAATTTATAGGCGTACCAGGTGGCTCAGTGGTTGAGCATCTGCCTTTGGCTCAGGTTGTCATCCCAGGGTCCTGGGATCAAGTCCCACATTGAGCTCCCCATAGGGAGCCTACTTCTCCCTCCGCCTATGTCTCTGCCTCTCTCTGTGTCTCTCATGAAAAAATCTTTTTTTTTTTATGGTGAAAAAATTTATATTTATATATATATATTTAAGATTTTATTTATTTATTCATGACAGAGAAAGAGAGAGGCAGAGACACAGGCAGAGGGAGAAGCAGGCTCCGTGCAGGGAGCCCGACATGGGACTCGATCCCGGGTCTCCAGGATCACGCCCTGGGCTGAAGGCAGGCGCTAAACCTCTGAGCCACCGGGGCTGCCCTATATTTAGATTTATAGCCAGCTGGATTCAATTTAGATGATCCCAATCTGATCAAGGTGTTGACCTTGGCCACATCAATGTCATGGAGCTTTTTCACAGCCTGTTTGATCTGGTGCTTATTGGCCTTGACATCCACAATGAACACAAGTGTGTTGTTGTCTTCTATTTTCTTCATGGCTGACTCCGTAATCGGGGAACTTGATGGCATAGTGATCAAGCTTGTTTCTCCTGGGAGCGCTCTTTCAAGGATATTTGGGCTGCCTTTGGAGACCCAGGGTCTTGGGTCATTGGAATGTAGGTGATGTATGGATCTTCTTTTTTTTTGTGACTGTGTATGCCTTTTAGCACCACTTTCTTAGCTTTCAAAGCCTTTGCTTTGGCTTTGGCTTCAGCTTTGGGAGGGGCAGAGGCTTCCTTCTTCGCCTTCAGCACCATCTTCATGAAAGGCTAAATAAAATCTTTTAAAAAAATAAAATAAAATTTATAAAACTAATTTCTCGACTTAAAAGATAATAAAAAGATTTTGTTGGGCAGCCCAGTTGGCTCAGCGGTTTAGCGCCGCCTTCAGCCCAGGGTGTGATTCTGGAGACCCGGGATCGAGTCCCACGTCAGGCTCCCTGCATGGAGCTTGCTTCTCCCTCTGCCTGTGTCTCTGCCTCCCTCTCTCTCTCTGTGTCTCTCATGAATAAATAAATAAAATCTTTAAAAAAAAAAAAGATTTTGTTAAAGGGAATTAAATACTATAATGGTCATTTTACATGTGCAGCTTAACTGCTATGCCTAAAATAACCATGTTATATCTCTGCATAATAGTACAGCCTTTTAAAATATAAGACATTTTATTCTTCTCTTGAATTAGAATTAGGTTAATTAACGTATCAGACTCCAGCACAATTGACTTGTTCCTCAGCCACTCATTTGTTCAGTGAACACTGAGCAAAATCAGCAAGACAGCATCTTTTTTTTTTAAGATTTTATTTATTTATTCATGAGAGAGAGAGAGAGAGAGGCAGAGACACAGGCAGAGGGAGAAGTAGGCTCCATGCAGGGAGCCTGACGTGGGACTCGATTCCTGGTCTCCAGGATCAGGCCCTGGGCCGAAAGTGGCGCTAAACCACAGCCACCCGGGCTGCCCTACATTGTTTATTATTATTATTATTATTATTTTAAGATTTATTTATTTCAGAGAGAGAGAGTATCGGGTGGCGGAAGAGAAGGGAGAGGGAGAGAGAGGGGGCAAGAACATTCCCAGCTGAGCAGGGAGCATGAAGCAGGACTGAATCCCAAACCCTGAGATCATGACCTGAGCCAAAACCAAGAGCTGGACACCCGAGCAGCCCTGCTTATTATTATAATAGTTATATTTTAATATCTAAAATGGTATCCCTTTATTATTCTACCTTTTCAGGCTTTTTTTTTTTTTAAGATTTTTTTTTTTTATTTACTCAGGAGAGACACACAGAGAGAGGCAGAGACATAGGCAGAGGGAGAAGCAGGCTCCATGCAGGGAGCCCGATGTGGGATGCTATTCTGGGACCTCCGGATAATGCCCTGAATTAAAGGCAGACATTCAACCACCCAGGCACCTCTTGTTTGTTATTTATCTAAAGAAATAGGAACACCTGGGTGGCTCAGCATTTGGGCATCTGCCTTTGGCTCAGGGCGTGATCCTGGGGTCCTGGGATTGAGTCTCACATGGGGCTCCCTGCATGGAGCCTGCTTCTCCCTCTGCCTATGTCTCTACCTCTTTCTGTGTCTCTCATAAATAAATAAAAGAAATAGCCTTGGTAAACACCAGTGTGCACAGCACCGTGATTATGGCATATTCCCATTTAAAAGTGTATTATTTTTGTTAAATGAAAAAAACCTTTAAGTTCTTTGAAATTTTTATATTTTAACATTAAGTGATAAGTAAATATCTTTAATTTTACTTATTTATTTTTTAAGATTTTGTTTATGTAAGATAAAGAAAGAATGAGAGAAGGAGAGGGAGAAGCAGGTTCCCCACTGAGCAGGGAGCCCAGTGTGGGGCTTGATCCCAGGACCCTGGGGTCATGACCTGAGCTGAAGACAACACTTAACCAACTGAGTCACCCAGGCACCCCAAATATCTTTTTTTTTTTTTGAAGATTTTATCCATTTATTCATGAGAGACACAGAGAGAGGTAGAGACATAGGCAGAGGGAGAAGCAGGCTCCCCACAGGAATCCCTATGTAGGACTCAATCCCAGGATACCGGGATCACAACCCAAGCTGAAAGCAGATGCTCAACCACTAAGCCAGTTGCCCCTAAATATCTTTAATTTAAAAAATGTATTTCCTCAACTTTATTTCAAAATCAGATTAAGAATGATCACTGGGTTTTTCTTTTTTTTTTTGTATATATTAAAAATTTTTTTTTTATTGGAATTCAATTTGCCAGCATATAGCATAACACCCAGTGGTCATCCCGCCAAGTGCCCCCCTCAGTGCCCATCACCCAGTCACCCCAACCCCCTGCCACCTCCCCTTCCACTACCCCTTGTTCATTTCCCAGAGTTAGGTGTCTCTCATGTTTTGTCACCCTCACTGATATTTTCATTCATTTTCTCTCCTTTCCCTTTATTTCCTTTCACTAATTTTTATATTCCCCAAATGAATGAGACCATATAATGTTTGTCCTGATCACTGGGATTTTAAAATTGATAATGAAACTAGTATAAACATTTCCCATTAGGCAGGAAACCATTAATTTCAAAACGGCCTCAGTGGTTGTCTTCTTGGGCTTGATCAGCGTTCTGTCATGTTAGAAATGACCTTTCAAAAAAAAAAAAAAAGAAATGACCTTTCATGGGGTGCCTGGCTGGCTTAGTCAGTATAGCATGAGACTCTTGATGTCGGGGTTGTGAGTTTGTACCTCACGTTGGGGGTAGAGTTTACTTTAAAAGAAATGACCCAGGGCAGCCCAGGTGGCTCAGCGGTTTAGAGCCGCCTTCAGCCCAGGGCGTGATCCTGGGGACCCGGGATTGAGTCCCGCATCCGGTTCCCTGCATGGGGCCTGCTTCTCCCTCTGCCTGTGTCTCTGCCACTCTCTCTCGCTCTCTCATGCTCTCTGTCTCTCATAAATAAATAAGTAAATAAATAAATAAATAAACAATAATAAATAAACAATAAATAAATAAATCTTTAAAAATAAAATAAAATACCTTTCATGGTAGAGCTTTGACTGACCCAAAACCAGCACAGTATTTACAAGATTGCTGTTTGAACATCAGTGGGGTCCAGAACCCATACATGTGTGCATACACTCACACCCCCTAATGGAGGCTTCCATTACAAGAAGGTGACAACAGTATAATGGATTGTTTGTGGAATGGTAGTTGTGGCTTTCAGTTCCTTATTGAAGATTTGTTTTGTTTTTTCTTCATCAAATCAGCATTTTTCTGGTGGTAGCCAGAATAACATCAGATCATATTGTAGTCTTTAGGGGACACGTAGGTGGCTTGTTGATTGAGTGTCTGCCTTCAGCTCAGGTAGTGATCCTGGTGTCCTGGGATCCAGCCCCACATCAGGGTCCCCACAGGGAGCCTGCTTCTCCCTCTGCCTGTGTCTCTGCCTCTCTCTCGCTCTATGTCTAACATGAATAAATAACAAATAAAAATCTAAAAATAAATAAATAAATCTTTGTTGGCACACTGCCCTAACTACCATGAAGGGAAAAAAAATGAATAAGATACAGTTTCAGCTCTCAAAGAGGAGTTTAAGAACTATCAATATGAGCCAAAATGAAGAAATGTTTTTATACATATACAAAGAGTTGTGTTATTCAGCATGACTTTTACTTAAGGACATTATCAAACAAGATTTGCTTGTATAGCTATTTCCTTTTCTAAATCTGTGTTCTTTGAACAGTTCAGGGGCAATTTCTTTTCTTTTCTTTTTTTTTTTTTTTAAGATTTTCTTTATTTATTCATGAGAGACACACACAGAGAGAGAGGCAGAGACACAGGCCGAGGGATAAGCAGGCTCCACTCAGGGACCCTGATGTGTAACTTGATCCCAAGACTCCAGGATCACGCCCTGGGCTGAAAGCAGACGCTCAACTGCTGAGCCACCCAGGCATCCCTAGTGGCAGTTTTCTTTTCTTTTCTTTTCTTTTTTTTTCTTTTCTTTTCTTTTCTTTTCTTTTCTTTTCTTTTCTTTTCTAAGATTTTATTTATTTATTCATGAGAGATACAGAGAGAGAGAGAGAGGCAGAGACACAGGCAGAGGAAGAAGCAGGCTCCATGCAGGGAGCCCGACGCGGGATTCCATCCTGGGTCTCCAGGATCAAGCCCTGGGCTGAAGGAGGCGCTAAACCACTAAGCCACCAGAGCTGCCCTGGCAGTTTCTTTAAGGAGAACTTTTTGTTGTTTTGTATTCAGAAAATTTGTAGAACCTGAGGAGATAGGAAAAACTAGGGATTTCCTAATTATCTTAAAGATATAGATAGACAGGGCACCTTAGTCGTGTAGTCAGTTAAGTATCTGACTCTTGATTGCATGCAGCCAGGTCATGATCTCAGTGTTCAGAGATTGAGCCCCCCACTGGGTTCCATGCTAAGGGGGAAGTTGACTCTCTGAAAAGTCTCTCTCCCCTCTGTCCTCCCCAGCTCCCTGACTCTCCCTTCTCTGTCTCTCTCAAGTAAATGAGTAAATCTTTTTTAAAAAAGATAAACCTAGACAGTACATGATGATGAAACATACTTTTATATTGCTAATAATGCTCCCAGGATGGGTTAAAGGTGCTTCAGTAATTTGTGTTTCTCATAAAACACTGGAGCTGGAGTATTTTTGTTGTAGGTTTAGTTTGAGGTGTAGGAGGTAGGAGGTAGAAATTGTCTCTGTCCGAAAAACCCAACTTTTCTTGATTTTAGACCTTTATTTTCTAAGAAATTTCTTTAAAAATTGGTTTTATGATAAGCATCATTCTTGGTGGTGGTGGTTGTACCGGAAATATCAGGGATGAACTAAGAGAACAAATGTGTATTTTAACATTGCTGTTTTGGACAGTTTCAAAACTGCTCTGTTCCTAAGTTTTACTCTTGTTATATAAAACCTCCTAGAGTTTTTCTAAGATTCAAAATAAATTCTGTGAATTCAGCATATTTTCAGGTCTACAGTGTATTATTAGGAGTAGAGATTCACCTCCAGATTACTTAGACATGAACCCCAGTTTTGCCATTTATTAGCTCTGAACTCACTGGACAAGTTTATCCCTCTGTGACTCAGTTTCCTTGTCTATTAAATGGGATAATAAAAGGAATCCTTACACGCTTGTTGTGAGAATTAGATTAATTAATACATGTAAAATACTTAGAACAGGGGCACTTGGGTGGCTCAGTCGGTGAAGCATCCAACTCTTGATTTTGGCACAGGTCATGATCTCAGAGTCACAAGATAGAGCCCTGATCAGGCTCCACACTCAGCGCAGAGTCTGCTTAAGATTCTCTGTCTCCCTCTGCCCCTTCCCCTGCTCACACATGCGCTCGCGTGCGCTCTCTCTCTCTCTCTCTCCTCTCTCAAATAAATAAATCTTTAAAAAGGGGGGGGAGGCCAGATGCCTCGGCGGTTGGGCGTCTGCCTTTGGCTCGGGGCGTAATCCTGGAGTCCCAGGATTAAGTCCTGCAGCAGGCTCCTTTGTGGAGCCTGCTTCTCTCTCCGCCTATGTCTCTACCTCTCTCTGTCTCCCATGAATAAATAAATAAAATCTAAAAAAAAAAAAAAGAAGAAGAAGAAGGATACCTAACTCAGTCTTAAGTGTCAAAAGGAAGATGTTCAGAGAAAGCTTTGAAGAGGAAGTGACGCATAAACTGGAATTTGAAGAGCAGGAGTTAGCCAGATGAGGGATTGTGGGGAGGAAGAGGACTTTCCAGGCAACTAGAACAGCAGGTACATAGGTAGATAGACCCAGGAGAACATGTTATAGTTTAGGAATTTCAAGTGGTGCAGTGGGACTAAAAATTAGTGCTAGAACTGAAGATGAGCAGGTATGGGAGGAGTGAGAGAAGAGACTTGCTAGAAAGATGGGCTTGCATCAGGGTTTGAAGGATTTTTTTGTAATCTGTAAAGAACATTGTTAAATTTGTGCTGTTATAAACATCACTATGGCACCACTGTTGAGGACAGATTAGAGAGGAATAAAACTGGAAGCAGTAAGAAATAATCTATCACTGCCCCAAGCACACATAGGAGGATGTCAGAATTGAAAGCTGTGCGCCACAAACAAATTCTGTCAGACTGGGAAGATTTATAAAATTGTGTAAAGATACAGAAAACTTTTTGTCCCAAGTGAATGAATCCTAGAAGAATTATTTCAGCCCTTTATCTCTTTTCTTTTCCTTCACTACAACAAACTGGTTGTCAGCTCTTCCTTGGATTTTAGGACAGGTGGTATTCTGAAGACCCCTGTTGTGTAGGCCTGGAAACCAGGTGAGTATTGGTACAGTGTTTAATAGCTAATTGGATCCTGATACATTTAGGGCTCTTTCAATAAAATAAATTATTTTTAGACTGAAAAAACAATAGTCAGATTTGTATCTTGAAAGATTTTATTTGGTGATTACATTTTTATAGCCTCAGTAGTGCTAATAAAGATTAGCTTTTCCAAAAGGTTAGCTAGGATTAAGCTTTGGCATAGGCAGGTGAGCGAAAATGCACGTTGACCATATTTTCTCTGACCTTACTAGATAGTTTTCCTACAATGTTAATGTGTTTCACTGTTATTTTTTTTTAAGATTTTATTTTTAAGTAATCTTTTATATCCAACATGGGACTTGAACTTACTACAATCCTGAGATCAAGAGTCTAATGCTATGGGGGCCCCCACTGTTACTTTTTTTTTTTAAGATTTTATTTATTCATGATAGACACAGGGGGGGAGGGGGGCGCAGAGACACAGGCAAAGGGATAAGCAGGCTCCATGCCGGAAACCTGACGTGGGACTCGATCCTGGGACCCCAGGATCGCGCCCTGGGCCGTAGGCAGGCACCAAACCGCTGAGCCACCCAGGGATCCCCTGTTACTTTTTTTTTTTTTAAAAAGATTTATTTATTTATGATAGATATATATATATATATAGAGAGAGGCAGAGACACAAGAGGAGGGAGAAGCAGGCTCCATGCCAGGAGCCCGACGTGGGACTCGATCCCGGGACTCCAGGATCGCGCCCTGGGCCAAAGGCAGGCGCCAAACTGCTGAGCCACCCAGGGATCCCCCCCTGTTACTTTTTTTAAAATCAAGATTTAGAAGTACAATTTTGTATAACCCAAAACATAATTTCTTTTTGAATTTAGAAATTATATGCATAACCTTTTTTCTCCCTGCACTTCATCTCCTAGAATCTGTGGTTGTGAAAAAGATTTGAGGGCTTTGAGGGAAGATATAGTACAAAAGAGGTACATACCTCATACATGGAAATCAAAGAATAAAATGCGTTTGAATTTCCATTTGGAGCAAGTTTGATAGAAACACCATTAATATAGTCATCCTTGGTTCCTATTGCAGGAATTATGGTTGACTCATAGTGTAGCCAGGTGTTCATTACTCAGAATTTTTATTTCGTAGACGATGAAGGCTTTATTCTCCTGCACATGGTCTAGGAAAGAATGTTTAAGGAAGTCCCTTGTTAGAAATTTTTGAGTAACTTTACAAATATTATCAGACATTTATTCTTACTGAATATGTGGCTCAGAATATTGCTTGGTAATGTTTAGGTATCTTTCTCACTTGAAGTAAAATTGAGGGCCAGATAAGTTAGAAAGAATTAATGAAAGAGAGGAGGAAGGAGAGAAGTGGCAGTGGCTAATAGTCATCTCTCTGAGTCACCAGCAATGAATGCCACTTTACTCGGGAACATTTACCTTGTTTCAAAACCCTGGGTTGGGCAGCTCTTTGACTTATGACTGGTTAGTTTCATGCATCATTGATAGCTTTTGGTTCCTTAATAGAAGCCACTGGGACTTAGCTTTTATGACTATCATGTTTTATAACGTACTTTTCTTTAAAACTCCTCATCAGGGGATCCCTGGGTGGCTCAGTAGTTTAGCACCTGCCTTTGGCCCACAAAGTGATCCTGGGCCCTGGGATCGAGTCCCACATCGGGCTCCCTGCACGGAGCCTGCTTCTCCCTCTGCCTGTGTCTGCCTATAAATGAATGAATGAATGAATGAAATCTTTAAAAAATTTTTAAAAATCGGGGCAGCCCCGGTGGCACAGCAGTTTAGCGCTGCCTGCAGCCTTGGGTGTGATCCTGGAGACCCAGGATTGAGTCCCACATCGGGCTTCCTGCATGGAGCCTGCTTCTCCCTCTGCCTGTGTCTCTGCCTCTCTCTTTGCTCTCTCTGAATGAATAAATAAATCTTTAAAAAATTTTTTTAAAAAATTAAAAAATAAAACTCCTCATCACTTTCACTTATAACTGCCAAAATCTACCTTCAGCCCATGAAGAAGTACTATTTGGAGTAGAAAGAGTAGTAAATGAAAGGCCAGTAAGATGGAGGTTATTAATTTTCAATGGATAACAAATAGATATAATTCTCAGTAAATTTTTTTTGGATTTTTTTTATTCATTCATTCATTCATTCATTCATTCATTCATGAGAGACACAGAAAGAGAGAGGCAGAGGGAGAAGCAGGCTCCTTGTGAGGAGCCTGATGCAGGGCTCAATCCCAGGACCCTGGGATCATGACCTGAGCTGAAGTCAGAAGCTCAACCACTGAGACACGTAAAGTGCCCCCTCAGTAAATCTTTAAAATAAGACAATTCTTCCATAGGCCTTAAATTGTTACTAATAGTCAAAGGCTAACTGGATGTTACTACAAAAAGTAGTAATTTAGTGCTAAAGAGAGAGTATTAATAGCTTACTAGTTGTACTGTATAAAAAGAAACTTTTTTTTTTAACCGTCAGGGTTCCCTCAGAGGGTATAGTGCCTTTAGTAGGTGGTGGTAGCGTTGGTGCCATGGAAGATAGATACCACATGCTTAGGAAAAGTGCAGTAGTGCTTTGAATTTTCTTTAAAGATTTTATTTATTTATTCATGAGAGAGACACACAGAGAGAGAAAGAGGCAGAGACACAGGCAGAGGGAGAAGCAGGCTCCATGTAGGGAGCCTGATGTGGGACTTGATCCCGGGTCTCCAGGATCACACTCTGGGCTGAAGTTGGTGCTAAACTGCTGAGCCACCCAGGCTGCCCTGGATTTTTTTTTTTTTTTAAGATTTTATTTATTAAGAGAGCCAGCAAGGGGAGCAGTAGGCAGAAGGAGAAGCAGACTCCCCCGGAGCAGGGAGCCCAATGCAGGGCTCCATCCCAGCACTCTGGGATCATGACCTGAGCTGAAGGTAGCCGCTTAACCAATTGAGCCACCCAAGGACTTCAGTTAGTGCTTTGAGATAAATGTTTTGTTATTAGAATACTTCCTAGTGGACTTTAAAAACCCTTCAGATTCAGCAAATCCAGTAGAACTTTCTGCAGTGATGGAAATGTTCTGTATCTGCGCTGTCCAGCATAGTAGCCATGTGTGGTATTGAGCATCTGCAATTTGACTAGTACAACTGAGAAACTGAATTGCAAATTGTATTTAATATAAATATATTAAATATTAATAAATTTAATCTGTATAGCTAGTAACTGTAGTATTAGTGCATCTTTAGATATTAGAACTGAACAGCACCTTTGATATCTATTACTTCAGTGCTAGTCATTAAAATATACTTTATTGTAATCAGTATTTATTTGTAGTACCTTTGAAAATGTCACCTTTTATTTTGCTTCCATTAGAACTGAGGGAACTACACCTTAGGCATACCTCAGGGGTACTGTGGGTTCAATTCCAGACCACTGCAATAAAGCGAATATCACAACAAAGTGAGCCAAATGAATTTGTTTACTAGTGCATGTAAAAGTGTACACAGTACTGCAGTCTATTAAGTGCATAGTAGTATGATGTCTAAAAAACTAATGTACACATATTATTTTTAAAATACTTTGTTGCAAAATTAAATAAAATACTTTGTTGCTAGGGAAGTGGCTCAGTAGGTTAAGCATCTGGCTCTTGGTTTCTGCTCAGATCATGATTTCATGGGTCATGAGATTGAGCCCTTGTCTCAGGGTTATGAGTTCAAGCTCCATGTAGGGTGTAGAGCTTATTTTTTAAGAAAGAAACACTGGGATGCCTGTGGCTCTGTGGTTGAGCATCTGCCTTTGGTTCAGGACATGATCCTGGTGTCCTGGGATTGAGTCCCGCATTGCGCTTCCTGCATGGAGCCTGCTTCTCCCTCTGCCTGTGTCTCTGCCTCCCTCTCTGTGTCTCTCATGAATAAATAAATAAAATCTTTAAAAAAGAAAAGAAAACACTTTATTGCTAAAAAACACTAACCATCATCTGAGTTTTCAACAAGTCATAATCTTTTTGCTGGTAGAGGATCTCACCTTGATGCTGATGGCTGCTGACTGATCAGGGTGGTGGGTGTTGATGACTGGGGTTGCTGGAACAACCTAAAATAAGACAGCAATGAAGTTTCCCATATCAGTTGACTATTCCTTTCACAAATGATCTCTCTAACAAATGCTGCTGTGTGATAGCATTTTACCCACAGAATTCCTTTCAAAATTGGAGTCAGTGGGGCACCTGGGTGGCTCAGTCCATAAGCATCTGCCTTCAGCTCAGGTCATGATCACAGGGTCCTGGAATTGAGCCCTGAATAGGGCTATCTGCTCTCCTTCAGCCTGCTGCTCTGCCTGCTTGCATGTGCATGTGTACATGCATTTTCTCTCTCTCTCTCTCGTTCTCTGTCAAATAAATAAATAAAATCTTAAAAAAAAAATTGGAGTCAGTTCTCTCAAACCCTGCTGCTTTATCAACTAAATTTATTTAATATTCAGAATCCTTTGTTGTTATTCCAACAACGTTCACAGCATCTTCAGCAGGAAAAGATTCCATCTCAAGAAACCACGTTCTTTGCTCATCACTAAGAAGCAGCTCCTCATCTGTTCATGTTTTACCATGAGATTGAGCTATTTGGCTCCACCGTCAGGCTTCGCTTCTCTAGTTTTTCTTTTAATATCTTATCTGCAATTAGTTCCTCCACTAAAGTCTTGAGCCTTGCAGAGTCATCGATGAGGGTAGGAATCAACTTCTTCCAAAGTCCTATGAATGTTGATATTTGGAAAAATCCTTCCCGTGAATCACAAGTGTTTTTTTTTTTTTTTTTTTTTTTTTTAAAAAAAGATTTTAGGGATCCCTGGGTGGCACAGCGGTTTGGCGCCTGCCTTTGGCCCAGGGCGCTTTCCCGGAGACCCAGGATCGAATCCCACGTCGGGCTCCCGGTGCATGGAGCCTGCTTCTCCCTCTGCCTGTGTCTCTGCCTCTCTCTCTCTCTCTCTGTGACTATCATAAATAAATAAAAATTTTTAAAAAAAGATTTTATTTGTTTGTTTGAGAGAGAGAGTACACATGAGAAGAGGGAAGGGGCAGAGGGAGAAGAAGCATGCTCCGTGCTGAGCAGGGAGCCCAATGTGGGCCTCAGTGCTTAACCGACTAAGCCACCCAAGTGCCCCATTCACAAGTGTTCTTAGTGGCATGTAGATTGGCGTCCTTTCCTGAAGATTTTCAGTTTACTTTGCCCCGATCCATCAGAGGAATCACTGTCTATGACAGCTACAGCTATACAAAATTATAATAAGTCTTGAAGGTCAAAATTACTCCTTGATCCATGGGCTTCAGAATGGGTGTTGTGTTAGCAGGCATGGAAACAAAGTTAATCTCACTACACATCTCCATCTGAGCTCTTAGGTGACCAGGTGCATTGTCAATGAGCAGTAATATTTTCTTTCTGAGCAGTAGTTTTTAAGAGTGGGCTTAAAATATTTAGTAAACCATGTTGTAAACAGATGTGCTGTGATCCAGACTTTGTTGTTCCATTTGTAGAGCACAGGCAGAGTAGATTTAGCATAGTTCTTAAAGGCCCTGGATTTTTTTTTTTAATTTTATTTATTCATGAGAGAGAGAGGCAGAGACATAGGCAGAGGGAGAAGCAGGGTCCATGCAGGGAGCCCGACGTGGGACTCAATCCCAGGACTCCAGGCGGCACTAAACGGCTGCGCCACCCGGGGCTGCCCATGGGCCCTGGATTTTTAGAATGGTCAGGGAACATTGGCTTCTACTTAAAGTCACCAGCTTCATTAGCTCTTGACAAGAGAGTCAGCCTGTCCTTTGAAGTTTTGAAGCCAGGCATTGATTTTTCCTCTCTGGCTATGAAAGTCCTGGATGGCATCTTTCAGTTTAAGGCTGTTCTATCTACATTGAAAATCTTTTCTTTTTTTTAATATTTTATTTATTTATTCATGAGAAGCACAGAGAGAGAGGCAGAGGCAGAGGGAGAAGCAGGCTCCATGCAGGGAACCCAATATGGGACTTGATCCCGGGTCTCCAGGATCACACCCTGAGCTGAAGGCAGACGCTTAACTGCTGAGCCACCCAGGCGTCCCTGAAAATCTTTTTAGAGTAGGTACCTTCATCAATTACCTGAGCTAGATCTGCTGAGTAACTTGCTGCAGCTTCTACATCAGGGCTTGCTGCTTCACTATGCACTTTTATGCTATGGAAGTGGCTTCTTTCCTTAAACCTCATGAACCCACCTCACCTAGCTTCAGACTTTTCTTCTGCAGCTTCCTCCCCTCTCTCAGCCTTCACAGAATTGAAGAGAGTTAGGGAATTAGGTTTCTGAATTAGGTTTCAGCTTAAGGGAATGTTGTGGCTGGTTTGATCTTCTGTCCAGACCACTCAGACTTTCCCCAAATCAGCAGTAAGGCTGTTTTGTTTTCTCCTCTTTCGTGTATTCACTGGAGTAGCACTTTTAATTTCCTTCAAGACCTTTCCTTTGCGTTCACAACTTGGTTAAACTGTTTGGCACGAGAGGTCCAGCTTCTGGCCATCTTGGCCTTTGAGATGCCTCCCTCACTAAGTTCAATCATTTCTAGCTTTTGATTTTAAGTGTGAAACCTGGGACGCCTGGGTGGCTCAGTGGTTGAGCATCTGCCTTGGCTCAGGGTGGGATGCTGGGGTCCTGGGATCGAGTCTCATATCGGGCTTCTTGTGGGAAGCCTGCTTCTCCCTCTGCCTGTGTCTCTGCCTCTCTCTCTGTGTCTCTCATAAATAAATAAATAAAATCATTTTAAAAATAAAAGTGAAGTGAAACCTGTGACTCTTCCTCTCACTTGAACACTTAGAGTGTTCTAACCCTAACATTGTAGGGTTATTAGTGGGCCTAATTTCCATATTGTGCCTCAGGGACTAGGGAGGCCTAAGGAGAGGGAGAGAGATGGGGGATAGACAGCAGGTGGGTGAAACAGAACACACACTACAGGGGCACCTGAGTGACTCAGTTAAGTGTCTGTTTTCAGCTCAGGTCACGATCCCAGGGTCCTGGGGTCAAGCCCTACATCACCTCAGGGCTCTGTGCTCATGAGGAACTTGCTTCTCTCTTGCTCCCTCCCTCTGCCCCTCCTCCCTGCTCCTGCTCTCTCTGTCACATAAATAAACAAAATGTTTAAAAAAAAAACCCACAAGATTTATCAGTTAAGTTCATAGTCTCATATGGGTTCATGGTGCCCCAAAACAATCACAATAGTAACATCAAAGATCACTGGTTATAGATCATTGTAACAAATACTATAATAATGAAAAATTTGAAGTATTGCAAGAATTACCAGAATTGTTTGGAATGATTTCTTCCACCCTCCGTCTATAGCACTTTTCACCCTAATTGCCTTTTGTTACTAGATTTTGTGAACAAAGCTTAAAATTTAAGAATGTTATTTCTTCCCTTTACTCAGGGTTAATAAATACCGGTTGCATGTCCACTGTGCACTGAGTTGTGTCAAACATTGAGGGTTAAAAAAAAAAATTGAAGGTTTAAGGATAAATACATCAATGATCCCTGCCCATGAGAAGTTTCTAACCTGTAAGAGGTCTGAAGGTCATTGCAATTTAGGGTAATAGGTCCTGCACAGTTGGTCAAGATGAGCTCTTTACCTCTCCAATTTTATGTCTTGTTGCTTGTATCTTTTCCTTACCTCTGTCATCTCTTCTGTGACTGACTCTTTGATCTTAGATGTAGCTTCTTTTGAAATATTTTCTTTGCTCAGGACAGAGCTAGACACTCCCACCCCTAATGGTATGTTTGCATATACCTAAGTACTGATTATTGTAGATCTTATTGACTTGAACTATCAGCACCTGAAGGGCTAAAACTATTGGTTTTAGCACCAGCACATTGTAGGCACATAATCAGTGATGAGCAAATCTTTATTGGAATTCAGCTTGAATGACTAAAGAAAGGCTCCTGAGAGTAGAAGCAACATTTGAGCCAGTTCTTAGAGTACTAGTACAAGTTCCCTAGATGGATCTGGGGAAGAAAGCCCAGGCCAAGTGAAGAATTTTTACAAATAGGTGAGACCTTGAAAAGTTTTTACAGATGACTGGCAAAGCTTTTTAATTCCCACGGAGTTTGAGACATGGGTTATTGTTGGGTGTTATCTCCTTCAACTATCCAGAGCCAGCCAGACTAGATGAGAGTTTCATCATGGGGTAAAGAATAAGAAGCTACAGCCTCCTCCAATTATAGATTCAGAAGTTGAGAAATTAGTCCTTTACTTCAATATGTGTCTGTGTGACCTGTCAGTACTTTCTGTTGGCCAGCCTTTCCTGGAGGAAGGTGACTGTCTTGCCACCCTGTCACTAGAGCTCACCTCCTTGAGACATCTCAGGCTGGAAGAAAGTAATATGGTGAAGTTAATGAAGGGAGATGTGATTAAAATCGCTAAGAGCTTACTCTCCTAGGTAATCCAATTTATATTGGTATTTCAGCATAAAAGTACATTTAAATGAAAGCATTATAGTCCTGTGATTGATCTTGTAAACTGCTTATTGAAAATATAAATCATATTCTCATGTTAGTGTGTGATATGACGTGCTTGCCAACAAAAGGTTTTGGAGTTAAAATGTCACTAAGAGCTTTGAATGCCCAGCTCATAATAGGTTACTGCTGTGTTTAGAAGTGGTTCTTTTAAAAAATGAGGCCCTGACTAGAGAGCTTCAAGTGCTATCTTTGCCTGTTAAACCTTATTTTTACAAGGCCTTCTTGCTCTTTTCATAAATTCAAATTTATGAGATTCACAAATTTTAATCTGCCACTTCCCCTATTCCTGGAGGCCGTAAACTGTGGAGCAAAAGTATTCTAAAAAGAGAGTATCTAATTTTATTCAGTGACAAGAAGAAATAGTTGTGTACTTTTTAAAAAGTTAAAACAAGGGACGCATGGGTGGCTCAGCAGTTGAGCGTTTGCCTTTGGCTCAGGGCGTGATCTTGGAGTCCCGGGACTGAGTCGCACGTCGGGCTGCCTGCGTGGAGCCCGCTTCTCCCTCTGCCTGTGTCTCTGCCTCTCTCTGTATGTCTCTCATGAATAAATGAATAAAACCTTTTAAAAAAAAAAGTTAAAACAAGATTGCCCTTTGCATTTTTTAAAGATTTTATTTATTCATTTATTCATGAGAGATACAGAGAGAGACAGAGAGAGGCAGAGACACAGGCAGAGGGTGAAGCAGGCTCCATGCGGGGAGCCCAACGTGGGCTTCCAGGATCACCCCCTGGGCTGAAGGCAGTGCTAAACTGCTGAGCCACCCAGGCTGCCCACTCTTTGCATTTTTTTAAAATAGGCTCCATGTCCAGTGTGGAACCCAATGCGGGGCTCGAATACGTGACCCTGAGACTAAGAGTCGGCCACCAAACCAGCTGAGCAACCCAGGTGCCCTGTCTTTGCATTTCTAAAGTATAATACATGGAAAACCAGAATGTAGTCAAGCTTTGATTGTTACTTTTTTTGTTGTTGTTACATTTTTTTTTAATTTATTTATTTATGAGAGAGAGAGAGAGAGAGAGAGAGAGAGAGAGGCAGAGACACAGGCAGAGGGAGAAGCAGGCTCCATGCACCGGGAGCCTGATGTGGGATTTGATCCCGGGTCCACAGGATCGCGCCCTGGGCCAAAGGCAGGCACCAAACCGCTGCGCCACCCAGGGATCCCTTGTTACATTTTAAAGTCATCACTGAACCAGTATCTTACTCTGTCTCTTAGCTTACCTGCTTACCAGTTGGCAGCAAGTATATATTGATTATTGGAATGAAACTGAAACAGGCTGGCCAGGGACAGTGTTTTCACTTGGTACATAGGCAGCAGAATGATTGGAGAGATTTGTTGTTATTGTCGAGAATATATATCTTTAGGAAATAAATATTTCCTTGACCATTTCCACAAGGGCTGAAGTGAGTCCTAGAGTTGGAATCCGGACATTTGGGGTTTTAGTCTTAGCTCTGAGCAAGTTAGTTAATGGTCACTAAGAGCCATTTCATTCTTATATTTTTAAGTTTTATTGTCACCTTCACAGTACCCTAGAATAAGCGACGAGCCAAACCAAGATGGGCATTAAAATTTGTTAGGTCAGGGGCAGCCCGGGTGCTCAGTGGTTTAGTGCTGCCTTTGGTCCAGGACCTGACCCTGGAGACCTGGGATCGAGTCCGACATCGGGCTCCCTGCATGGAGCCTGCTTCTCCCTCTGCCTGTGTCTCTCATGAATAAATAAATAAAATCTTTAAAAAGATTAGTAGATGGTAAATAGCAGCTATACTAGGGTCTGTAAATCTTTATGTTGTATTCTTGTATGGTCCAGTCAATACAAACTGAATTCTATAGTACTGTTTTAGGGGTGTGTGTGTGTGTGTGTGTGTGTGTGTGTGTGTGTAATATCCCTGGTTTAAATTTATTCATAGTAATAGTTTTGTGTGGGCTGTTCCATCTGCTTGATGTTTTTGTATACCAACCCTGATTGTATTCAGACTTCCTTCTTGGCCTGCTTCTTCCAATTTGCTCTCTGGATTCATGATACAAAAATGTCATCCTCTTCCGTTTCTGCCCAACCTCTTTGTAATGACTGCATTTTTTACTATGTACCATTGTCTGGCTGCTGCTTGCCTTTCCTGTCTTGTTTTTTTACTATAACAACTGTGATCATTGGTGCTTACATTTATTGAGTTTTCCATGTGCCAGGCACATTACAGAGGACTTTATGTTCGTGTCATTTAGTCTTTACACCTGCCTTTTGCTGCTGAGTATGGTTATGCCCATTTTACAGATTAGAAAATGGAGACACAGAGAGGTGAAGCAGCTTGTCTAGTGTTAACACCTAGTGAAATCTGGAATTAAAATTTCAGTTGCCTCCAGAGCTCATCCTCTTAAGCATTTGCCGTATTACAATCATGATGATGAAGATGAGGGTGATGATGATAACTGTTACAGTATGTTGAGCACCTAATGATTTTTGGGCAGTGCATTTGCCATCTTTTGCCTCCTCATTTTATAGTGTGGAAAGTCCTGTTACATATGCTCTGTTTTTAGGCTAATAAGTGCCAGAGTTTGAAGGTATTGGGCATTCTTACATTAGAACATTCTTTCAATATGGTTTTCCTTTTACTCTTTCCTACTTTATTGATCAACATAATGTTTTTCTGACTACTACCAGTATGAACAATTAAATATTGCATCAATTTTTTTGCATTTTTTTTACCACTGCCTTAGCATTATAATTTTCTTACTCGTTACCTTTGTTATTTTTTTTCTGTATCAAAAGCAGATAATGGGGAAAAGAAGGTGCTAAGAAAAGGCAAAAGGAAAGCCCGGATACTAGAAATTACTGTGATCTCAGTTTGGAAGACAAAGATTTAAACTAAAAGCTCTGGTTTTTTTAGCAGCTGTCATTTATTGAAGGACTTTGGCACTTAAAAATTTGATGACATAAATCACAGAATTTGACCTTAGTAGTCTCAGCTTCCTAAACTAATGAAAGGTTAAACAATACGTTCTTCACAATGCATGGTTGTTTAGTTGCGGCGATGTTTAAATCCAATAACCAATGTCAACCTCCTTTTCACAAGTGTTAGTTTATCATTTGTTAGTGAAATAATCGAGAGTATGTGGCTAAACACCACGGTAAATTTGTGTTAGGTATGTCTTTTTTACATTTAGAAAATTCAGTGTTAGCTTACATGGGTTGTCTATAAATAAAAATTCATGCTGTGTCCTTAATATTTATGTATTTTAGCTATATGAAAAATTAGTTATATTATTAAAAAAATCAGTGTGCAAGCTGGACCCTCAGTTGCTGCAGGTGGTTAGCTGATATTTCCATGTATTAAGGCAACATGTAGGGTTACTCCCTATATTTTGTAATCCCCAAGATATCTTCCAAACATTTATTTCAAGCTTATTATTTTGATGAGGAAATTTTTCAGAACAGTTTCTTCTTATTTCTAGAAAAAGTATATTCAGTCTTAAAATATCATTCTTAATGTTACTAATTCCCCATATATAGATCTTATCCTGCTTTGGGTATGCCACTTACAGGTAGGAAATACTACAATTTTAGAGCAAGCAGTGAAATGTGAGAACAGTCGATACTTCTGAGGCAAGCCTGTATTGAAGACCTACCTTTGAGCTGAATTCTGCGCCCGTCAGTCTGCTGTGCATAACCCTGATGGTTTTTGTATGACTACATTTACAAGTTCATTGGTAGATTCTTGAGCAGGCTCCCATTCTTCTATGGATGTGAGTCTGGAGAGTTATAAAACAAGCCTGGTGTCAGGAAAGGTAGGTGTGGCTTCTTAGGGCTGTGCCGCTCAGCAGCTAGAATGTAGTTGGCAGTCTCCTCCCCTTCCTGACTTCAACTCTTCACAGTGTGTGCTCTGGAATGACAGGCATTCCTGTGTGAAGAGAGCCAGCGTGAAGACATATTTGTAAGAACCACAAGTGCCCAGGCCGGGACACAGGGAACAGAAACTCCAGCAGATTAACCGATCTCATGATTTTTCCTGATGTTTGGCAGTGACACTGAGAGAGGAGTGCATGCCCCCTTTATATGTGGATTTATTTTTTAAGAAAAGTTTTTTTTGGTCCGGGACAATTTGTTGTTGTGAGACACATCAGACAATTTAACCATGGGGCAAGCTGACGTCTCCAGACCGGTAAATCCAGATGCAGTTGGTGAGTAATAGAAGGCAAAGAAACAAAATCTTGACAGGCAGGGCAGATGAACAGGTGAAGTTGAATATTTTATAGGAAGTTGAGTGTGAGCATTTTGTTGTTTATAACTTTATGATGTTTACAACTTTGTGAAGAATGAATGAAAATTTGCAAGTTGTTTTTCATTCAGTTATATTAATTTACTAAGTTTTGTCTTACTTGATCCCTCTGGAGTTTTTTTTTAATATATGTAATATTGATAGGATATCATTTATTAATTTTTTGCTCTTGCAGAAGATAAGTGCTATAGGAAATCATATTTCAAATTCAGTGTTTTCCTGGCATGTTGCAGACTTAGGATTTATATGACAGAGAACTAGAACTGTTGACTTCTATAAATGGGACTATTTTTAAGAATTGGCATAGTTTCTTAGACTCAGTTATACATTCTCCAAATAAGTCTCAGGCTTTTCCCATTTTGCTAGTATTTCCATTTGTCATAAGGCAGTTCTTTGGTACAAACACTTCTGAAGTCAGTGGTTTACATTTGAGGTATTATTGTCTCAGAGACAGCTAGAGACCTAGCTGGTAAATGCAAGTGTAGGTTAGAGGTTCAAGGCTGTAAGTGAAATGGAAGTCCATTGTCACTGAAGATTCATTTTCCCAACTGTGGGGTTTTGTGTAAGATGAGGATGTAAGGGTGGGAAAAATTAGTTTTAAGTGGATTTGTTAAAGGGTTGGAAATATAAGCAGAATGGGGGAAAGCCTGTGAATCATTTCTTGACATGACACTTAAAAAAAAAAAAGATTTATACCTTCTCTTTGATTTAGGAAGCCACAGAAAACATGTTCAGTCCTAGGCTGTTCTTTTTTCAGAAATGAAAAATGTTGGTGACTTTAAAGAAAAGTTTAAAAGTGTAAAAACACAGGTAACATTCCTAAATGTCTCCTGACTTAATATTATTTAGTTTCTAAAAGTGTATTTTCCCCGAGAACTTCCCAGATGAAATTCCTACAGAGTAATTTCATGTTTTACCAAAACTGAAGTACATGGTGGGGAATCCCTGGGCGGCTCAGCGGTTTAGCGCCTGCCTTTGGCCCAGGGCGTGATCCTAGAGTCCTGGGATCAAGTCCCATGTCCGGCTCCCTGCATGGAGCTTGCTTCTCCCTCCTCCTGTGTCTCTGCCTCTCCTCTCTCTCTCTCTGTCTATGTCTATCATAAATAAATAAATAAATAAATAAATAAATAAATAAATAAATAAATAAGTCAATCTTAAAAAAAACTGAAGTACATGGATTACAAAGTGAGGCATAGAACAACAGATTTTTAGGACTGAAGTCAGGACTTGATTCATTTTACCTTGAAAATGAAATTTTTACCGTAAAAATCACCAGTGATTTTTAATTTTTTTTACTTTTAATGAAACATTTCATAAATAGGAAAAGGCATAGTGAAAAATATAAAAGATCCCTTACCCAGCTGGAGCCACTGCCCAGCTTAAGAATTGAAATTAAAAACAGTGAGATATCCCACCCTGCCCCTATCTACGTGCCCACATTCCCTTGTGATGGCATTTTGTTGCTTTGCTCCCAGAGGTAACCACTCTCCTGAATTGAGTAAATTCACTTTTGGGCCACTAAATTCTCCTGTCTTTCTTTATTAATAAGGATGAGGATCTAAACAATGCTAGACATTTATCTATGAGATGGAAATGAATGGTCTTTGAATGGCAAGAAATGGGTAAGTAGGTATAACTTACTTATAAGATATAACTTGTAAAAAATGCCCATCTAACATCTATATATGAAAAATTTCATCTGAGTAGATAAAGTTTGATATATTTGTTTGATAAAAAGTGAGAGCATCAAATTCATCAATTTTTCTGCCAGTAGTCCTAAAAAAAGACTTCTGAAGAAGAAATAGAAATCACTCAGGTATCTAAGATTTGTATGTTCTCTCTAGATTTAATTTTTGAGCTTTATTTCCTATTGCCTAGATAATTCATAGCTGGCTATAAGCTATTTTAATGGACAGACTGCATTCTATTATATTTCTTTTTTTTTTTTAAGATTTTATTTTTAAATAATCTTTATACCCAGTGTGGGGCTTGAACACACAACCCTGAGATCAAGAGTCGCATGCTCCACTGACTGAACCAGCCAGGCACCGCTGAATTTCTCATAATTCAGGATTTATTCTATATGAGCAAATGAAGGTCAGGTCATTGACATTGACAAGTTTGAGGACTACACCATTGCTTTAAAGACTTTTACCAAGCCTGTTTCTTTTTTTTTTTTTTTTTCCTGCCGTCGTCCCTGGCCGCCTGTTTCTTAATGACATTTAAAAAGCATTTCAGTGATTGGGTATGTAGAAAGTTTTATCAGATTCTTTGGAAGGATAAATGTACAAAGTAAATTAACATTTAAATAATTTGTTTACAGTTCTAGGCCTGAAATATAGTAGTTAGTTTTGACTTTAAAATTGATAGTATTGGGACACCTGGCTGGCCTAGTTGGTAGAGCATGAGACTCTTGATCTTGGGGTTGTGAGCCCCATGCTGGGGGTAGAATTTACTTTAAAAAAATTGATAAAAAAATTCATGATGGGTACCTGGGTGGCCCAGTCAGTTAAGTGTCTGCCTTCCGCTCAGGTAATGATCCCAGGGTTCTGGGATCAAGTTCCGCATCAAGTTCCCTGCTCTGTGGGGAGCCTGCTCCTTCTGCTTGCTGCTTCTCCTGCTTGTGCACTCTCTCTCTCTCTCTCCTTCTCTGTCAAATAAATAAATCTTTGAAAAAATGAAAATAAATAAAATTCATGGTACTAGGTTTGACAAGCCAAATGATACAAAATAAATTATTGAATATATAGAATATATTTCTTATTATTTTCAAGGCACTGTAAATGTTTTAGTGGAGCTTGTATAGGTATGATTCATGTCTTATGCCCTTGAGAAATTTACTTTCTAGTTGAGAATTTAAATATTAAAAGAAAAAATCCAGGATGCCTGGATGGCTTAGCTGTTGAGTGTCTGCCTTTGCCTCAGGATGTGATCCCACGGTCCTGGGATCGAGTCCCACATCAGGCTTCCCACAGGGAACCTCCTTCTCCCCTGCCTATGTCTCTTCCTCTCTCTCTGTCTCATGAATAAATAAAATATTTTTTAAAAAGTCCAAGATATTTATAAATTTGTTTAAGATAAGGCATATTCTTGGGATGCCTGGCTGGCTCAGTCAGTGGAGCATGTGACTCTTGATCTCAGGGTTGTGGGTTCGAGCTCCACGTTGGCTATAAATGTTACTTAAGAATAAAATCTTTAAAAACAAATTTTTAAAATTTGTCTTTAGATAAAATCTAAGATGTATTCCTTTTTTCTAAGTTTGTTGACCATGGCTTATGATGGAATCCAGAGCTGTTAACTAAGAACAGTCTGCTTTCAAATAAATAACCTTTGTGCGAGGACTTATATGCACATTGACAAGATGTTATGTCAGCATCCATTTAGAGTTTTACCATAGGCCTCTCTAACAACTGGTGAACTAATTGATTATTTAAATACAGAGAAGGGGGCACCTGAGTGACTTACTTAGTAGGTTAAGCATCTCCCTTCGGCTCAGACAATGATCCTAGGGTCCTGGGATTGAATTCTGCATAGGGCTCAGTGGGCAGTCTCCTTCTGCCTGACATTTCTCCTGCTCATTCTCTCTCTCTCTCTCTCTCTTAAGTAAATAAAAAAATAAAAATAAATCACTTTTAAAGTACAGAGAAGGAATTTATGCTATAGTGTCCATTCAAGGAAATTAGCAATTATCCTCAGTAGTTGATATAAAAAAAAATTATCCTCAAGTGAAATACGTCCATAAGAGAAGCCTGTATATTTACTCAGATAAAACTTTCAAGTAATAATATTTTGTATTTCTTGATCAACATAAAAGCTATTTCTGTCTTCACTAAAATCCTTTACCCATTTATCATCTTAGGGCAGCCAGCTAATTATAGTCAGCACAGGTCCTTAAGTTAGGCACAAGACCAGAGAATTTTATTTTATTTTTATTTTTTTTAGAGCGGAGGAGGAGGAGCAGGGGAAAAGGAGAGAGAGAATCTCAAGCAGGCTCCATGCCCAGCACAGAGGCCCACTTGGAGCTCAATTTCATAACTCTGAGATCATGACCTGAGCTGAAATCAAGAGTTGGTTGCTTAACTGACTGAGCCCCTAGGCGCCCCAAGACCAAAGAATTTTAATAAATTCTAGTCTGGAACTTTCTTTCTGCCTTTCCATTCTCCATCTCTAGGTTTGTAGGGTTTTTTTATTTTTCATTTTTGAACTTTCATATACCTCTCATTCACTAATTAGCCTTTTTTTTTTTTACTTCTACATAGAAATATATTGCTTTAAAAGATGCTGTATTATACTTCTTTATTCTTTTCCCATTTGATTCATTTTGCTCTGAAATTTGTAGTTTTGGGTTCTCAAGCTCATGATGATGGAATCAGTTAGGGCAAGGTGATTTAGAAATATATAGTCATTTATGTGATGCCTGGGTGGCTCAGCAGGTGAGCATCTGCCTTCGGTTCAGGGAGTGATCCTGGAGTCCTGGGATCGAGTTCTGCATCAGTAGAGAGCCTGCTTCTCCCTCTGCCTGTGTCTCTGCCTCTCTCTCTCTCTCTCTCTCTCTCTCTCATGAATAAATAAATAATTCTTTAAAGAAAAAAAGAAATGTAAAATCAGTGAGATCATAATAAAATGTAATGTAGCTATTCAACAGTATTAACAGGAATAAATAATAGATGGGTTAATTAAAAATAAACTGTAACACTTTGAAGAAAAACATTTGTCATTATTTGGTGATGAGAGTAATCAGAAACATTTTTCATACTCATCTAATTGTAACAATAAATGCTTTCTTCTAAGAAGGAACAGGCACTTTCCACATGTAATCAGAAATGAGGAGGAAGCAATAGTATATAGGTCTGTCATGGACTCCTTACAGGATTTTCTGTTATCAAATGTGAACTACCAACC